TAGTCGTTGAACTGAGGGAGCGGATAAGAAGCCAGTTCAATGGTGAACGCCCCATCCGCCACAGCTTCACTGCCCCTCACCACGCTCTCTTGCGCCCCCCACCCGTCGCTGGCCACCCAGGTGAAGGTGACATTCATGCGAGCAGCCGCCACCAGCAGCTCGCGCGCGTCTTCGCTGCGGGTGAACAGGATTACCACCCGGGCGTTGGACTTCTGCTGCAGGGAGCGGATCACGTTCTCGTAGTTCTGGCGGGTCATGGAGCGGCTCACCTTGGCCGACGTGGCGATGCAGATCTGGCAAGTGCNTGCTGCTGAAAGGCGTCGATGCCGGTCTCGCCGTAGTCCCCCTCGGAGGCCACGGTCGACACGTAGGTCCAGTTGAAGTATCGCAGGATTTCGACCATGGCCTTGGCCTGGTAGAAGTCGGGCGGGACGGTGCGGGCGAAGTAGTCATAGCGGGATTTATCGCTGAGTTTGGCACTGGTGGAGGCGTAGCTGATCTGTGGGATCTGGAACAATCGCAGGAGGTTCGCCACCTGCAGGGGAGGAAGGAGAAACGTGGTTGTGGACAAAGTCAGTCAGCGGTAGAAAATATCAACCGAACCTCAACAAATGATGAACCCCATAATCAGACACAAAAATATAGATTTGTGATTTAATCATACAACTATAAACTGTGGAGAACCAGGTGGAAATGTGCGGGTGTGCTGTGTGTAATACCGATAACTCACAGAAGGAGGCGTTAAAGAGTCAGGAAGTCAAACTTTAGACTCAGGCTTCATGTGGTGGTCTGTGATTGGACCTTGGTGGAATAAGTCTACTGCTAAATATATAATAACTAAAAACTATAAGTCGTCAAACCCTTGGGTCACGTTCTGACTTTTTATTGTTCGGGTACCAGTACCAGTACCAGTACCAGTACCAGTACCAGTACCAGTACCAGTACCAGTTATTGCTGTTCCGTAAGCTTTACTTTTGAAGACTTTTCTAAAGAATAAAGACTTGTCAGAATGAGATTGTGTTTCGTTACAGATTTGCGACTAAATTGATTTTTTTCCTCTCTCTCTGCTGCTTCAACTCTATCAAAAGTCTTTTTTTTTTTTTTTGGCTCCTTCTGATATTTTTAAGTGTGGATTCTGGGCTGAAGTAGAGCTGTTCAGACACAGCTGCTGTCTGATGTGCTCCAGCTCTCAGGCAGAGACTGGCAGAGGAAACAACTGCAAACTCAATGTTCCTCCGTCTCCACCTGTTCACTCTGTCAGGGAGCTGTGGCGGCGGCGGCGGCGGCGGCGGCAGATTGTGGCACAAATCCCTTCAGAGATAATGTCAGACGGCAGCAGCGACAACGGCACGAAGATGAGATTTTTATCAGGTTATTTGTCTGTTTACTTCAAATACGGTCGTTCAGTCGCATCATTTAAGAATTCACAAAACCCAGTGGCCAGGACAGGAAGTATTGATTTCCTCGCCGAGGTGACGGCCGGCGCTGCAGCGTGACACGGACGGGGGATTATCGGTGACTGTGTCCGTGCTGGACACTGGCCTGAAAAAATTAATCTGTCAGAAGCGGAACAGGAAAATTATAGCAATTATTTTCCCACACAGCAAACGGTGACACTGCTGGTGAAAAGTTGTCATTTTGTCTGCGTTTCTCATTGGACGCAGCGGTAATTAATGGAAACCCGCGAGCATCAACGTAGCTAGCTGCTCCCGGAGGCATCGTTGTACGCCTGGAGGCTTCCCAACACAAAAACATGTAATTGGGACCCTGCTGGTCCAAGTACAACTGCAGTACTCTCCTCCACTGGGTACTGTGTACTGTGTACTGTGTACACACTCTCTGTAGTTCGTCCCTAGTACATTATACTCAGCTTCAACTTCTCCTTCGACTCAAAGGAATAAAAAATATATAAACAAACAACTGCTGTTAAACATTAAAATTGAACCTCTGGGTCTGGACTTTCTCCAAATCAGATTGGTTTTTTTTTAAATGTCCGTAGAGATTTACAGCGTGAACCTCTGGGTCTGGACTTTCTCCAATCTGAGAGATTGGATGTAGAGTCCAATCAAATCCCTTCAAACTCAGGACGACCGATATTAACGTTCTGTCGATATATCCGATATTGTCCAAACACTTAATTTCTGATTCCGATATGGACCTGGGAATATTTATTGATTTATCTGACACCAGCAAATATAATATATTTAGACAAGGACGCTGCAGCAACAGCCGTCGACCTCAGAATACGGGACAGATTTCTGGTCTAATTACCCTCAGTGTAACTGCCCCCCCACCCCCCCACGTACGTCCAGGCTCCGTCCGACCCACTGATCCACTGATGTTACCTGATCTACAGGATAACACTTTGAGNCCCGAACCCCCAGCAGCTGCTCGACACTGCAGCCATCAGGACGGCAGTGAAGTGTGTGACAGTTACTGTCTGTTCATCCTCGTAGGACCGAACTCACACTCCCACTGGACCTGGGAAGGACCACAGCACCTGGTGTGAACCAGCAGCAGCAGCACCGAGGTACCAGAGTCCAACCACAGGACCAGTCGTCTCAGACGAGGTCCAGACAGACTCACTCTGGTCCATCAGTACAGCTCATCGAACACGTTTGTTTTTGTAGGTGGATTCTTTTTTTCTTTTTTTTTTAGATGTATTACTGCCACCTACTGGGCTGCAGGTAGGAC